TTTAATTTTGCAAGAATTTTAAAGAATTGGTGGTGTTTTCTTCACAATTAGAGCAGGAAAGAACTGTGACAATGTTAGCCTCATGCTAACATAATAAGAAATTAGTATTGTTGCAGTAGTTGGCCAATTTGATAAAAGTTGCTCATAAATGAGTTTCTGCATTAATGATTACTTCAATATATGTTTGGGATTATATGACAACTCAGGAGTTCAGGAAATGACTACAATGTACGATGAAGGACAACTGAATTCTTATCCTCATTCAACAGTGATACCCACCTTTTAAGGAACTAAGGAACGAAATTTATTGTGATTAACATTAACAGTAAAACAATGCATGAAACATTTGTATTTTATCATCGTGTATTGTATTGTTGGCCTAACAACACCCCTTACCCATAAAATCAATGTAACGCACAGCTTCTTGTGACTTACTGCTTTATCATTTTAAAGCCTTTTGGTCACCAACTACTGATTTTAACAAAACAGAGAATTCCAAGTTGATTGTGAGCAAAAGTATGACAATTACATGTAGTTTAAAACGTGACGTATAACTATACAAAATTTCAGCACTCTACTTTTGGCATTTTTTTTCTTCATCGTACTAAATGTTTGTTAGACCTGAATGGGTTAAGAGACACTTGTGACAGTGGATCTCCCTTCACACTAATGATCACAGAAAGGATTTTCTAGGGTTTGTTAGATTCTAATCAAGAGTTCGTATTGAACTGAAAGAGCATCATTGTAATGACCTTCCAGTCTCCTGAGCTCCTCATTAGTCTTCATGGTCTGCTTTCTGTTCATAGGCAGGATTTCTGTGGAAATGTGCTCGGTGTCAGACGCTGTGGCAGATCCCGGCGCTGGGAGACGCTTGATGTTAATAGAAATGAACATCTGCCTTTCGAATCAGGGAAAGAAACAAACGTTGACAAAAAGCTGGGGGTGTGAAAAGACATTTTCATGAAAGCTACAAAACACTGAAGGGTAATGAGAAATGGCAGCAATGTGAGTCTTCACTGAAAAAAAGGGAATTTACTTGATTTAAATGTGTAAATTATTTCCACATGAATTAGACAAATTACACTGACGGTTATTGTCTTTGTTATTTACTTTCAGCGCTGATTATGTTGATGTAATATTTTATTCAGGAACTCAGGAAAGGGGTGCCACAGAGGGTTCTTTGGGTGATTCTGTAGAGAAACCACTTTTGATTCACTTAATGTAAATGTTCTCTAATTATCGTTATACATTATGTAGAGGTTCTTTAACCTTTAAAGAGCCCACATCCTGTGTTTCTTGTATTTTTTTTTCTCCCCTGAGATCCACTTATTTGTGTTGTACCAAAAGCAGTCGTCATTTACCTTTACCTGCCTGTTCTCCAGCCTCTTTCTATCCTTTAGAATTAAACAGGCTATTTTTGTTACTGTGCCTTTAAGACTTTAAGCTCTGCTCTGACTGGCTGCCTTGAATTGAGCCTCTTTCAAAAAACACTCAGTTAAATTCTTTAATTTCAGTGTTAATGGGCAGAGCTAATCTGCTGTAGGCTGAATAGGTGGATATATGTGAATGTGGTGTTTTTGTGACATCAAAGTGATTGAGGTTTTGCATCTTCGTTTCTATATGTGGGCTATATGGACTTAAGAGTAAGTATTTTTGAAACTTTAACAGTGTTTGCATACAACATAATTCTTTTACATAAAAAAAATAAACCCCTGGAAATTCCATAATATGGGCCCTTTAAAAAGGTTCTTTGCACTCACACATCCCATTTATGAAAAGGTTCTCTAAAGAACCATCCACTGAAGGTTGCTACAAGCTTGACATAACGATAGCAGAACTCTCTTTGGTGTTCTACAGAACCATTTTCAAAAAGGTTCTGTATAAAAACGCAACACATTCTCCATCAATCTGAGGAACCATTTCAGCTTGAAATGGTTTTATTTAGAACTCATAGTTCTAAACAGAAAAATTGCCTTTATTAAAGGTCCCTTAAGGAACCATCTTTTTAAGACTACAAGAACAGTCACTTTCATTTTTATTTTTTACTTTTTTCCAAATTTTACAATAATTCAGTGAAGACATCAAAACTATAAACCAACCCATATAGAATTATGCAGAGCAGAATAATACATATATTTTTATACATAATAATAATAAAGTACTGTTCAAACTTCTTAAGCAGCCAATAAAACTGTTAGAATAAATATAGTACAAAGTAAGATTTTTTTTGTTTTTGTTTTTTAAAAAATTTAACATGCTGTTTATACAAATACAGTTACAAAAACATGGGTTTTGTTACTGATTTCTCACTGCACTCCAGCCATTGTATATAAAATGAGGTGTTTTTGGGTGTAAATAGTCATTCAAAGTGGTTTGGTGTGAAATGCGCTTTTCTAGAGAAACTTAGTCAGAACTGTTTACAGTGGTGGTGATGGTAACCAGACTTCTGAAGAGTTTAACGCCTCTAAAGCTCCCTCACTGAAAGTAATTACATGAAATGATTATGAATACACTGTCTGAACACTAAAGATAAGATAAGATAAATAGTCTCCCAAACAGATTCCACAAACGCATCCCAGAAATGTCTCTCAGCCTGCTCAAACCGTATCAAAGTCTTCAATCAGGTCCTGCAGACAAGTTGATGTGGTGTAGGACAGTGTTTCTCAACCCTGGTCCTGAGACCCGTGTCCTGCACGTTTTAGTGCTGTTTCTGTGTTAACACAGCTACTTTAACTCAATAATGGGCTGTTAATGCGCTGGTTAGTTGGATCAGGTGTGTTGAGAGCAGAGAAAACAGTAAGAAGTGCAGGGCAGTGGGCCTCCAGGACCAGGGTTGAGAAACACTGGTGTAGACCACAGCATGGCTCACTATGAGCTATAAACGTGAAAACTTCACCGTGTAGCTCAAAGAAGTGGCAGCTGTTTAGGGTAAAAGGGGCTGTTTTTGAAAGCCTATTACATACTGCTGGTGTACTGATTGTGCCCAAAAGTAGTAAGTAGTATGCAGAATGTGACAGACATGCATTTCCCCAGTAAGCCCGGATCTGGCCAGAGCTACCTTCAACATATACTGCATCCCAAAATGCAACATGGTGACTTAACCACTGGGATATTTTAGCTCTTTCTCTATATTAATAATGGCAAAATGAATGAAATTTGTCCAAATGCTGCTGCACTCTGAAGCCACAAGCCACTTCTGGCTTTGTGGTGGGTTTGCTTACTGATTTTTGTCAGGTTTGAAAGGCAGATATCACAGTCAAAGCTATGAACTGGCTGCTGACTTGAAATGAAAGTGATTATTTACTCTGCAAGCAGCTCCTCTGTCTCTGCGCCTCACACGGCACTCTTCACCTTTTTTCTCCACTTCTCTGATTGGCTGCTGCCTGAATCACTTGTTCACTTACACTGCTGATGATCATGCACTACAGAATTGTGACCGTTTTGAATCTTAGAAAACCTTAAAATTGGTCTGAGGGCTAAACAGTGACTCATTTCTCTTCTCACACTACCAAATAATTCGTCAGTCGTTTCAGATTGAGATTCCAATCTGGAAAATCACTTCAGATCATAAAAAGAATTGTCGGAAGGGGCAAACCTTAGTTAAAATCGGGCTCTATATTTTTGTAAAGATTGTATTTTTGTTTATGTATTAGATGGGCTATATTTACATGTGTATATTAATAGTGTATATTAATTTTATAAATTATTTTGTCTATATTTATATATATATGTTAGTCTGTATTTATTTTTACACATTTTCTCAGATGCTGTATTAGTGCTATTTTACCTCACCCCAGTGATTACTCCTTGTATCTTAGATTAAAATGATATAGGCCTCTCTTTCATGATCAAGGGTTTTGGTCTTTCTGTGCTAATAATGACCAGTTCAGCTGTCATCATTGTGAATACCCTGCATGTAAATTATCATCTGAATACTGCTGCAGGTTCACTGAGTCACTTAGCCTATTAACATTTTCTGGATCAAAGTGCCACTGCTTGGTAACTCTTAACTGATTTGACGTTTACTGCTGTAGTTCCTATAATAAACACATGGGGGCAGCAAAACTCTGTACATTTCCAAAGGCCCGTTTAAATGCTGTGTTTTTTATTGATCGATCATATTACTGATCAATACACTGATCAATATTACTGAGCAATACATTCATGATATTTTCATATAACACTGAGAATGTGGTGGCAGCAACCAAAAAGATTTTTTAATGTTAATAATAAAAAGCAAATTAGTTCATTTTCAAATTGATTTGTATTTTTATAACTTCCATTGTCACAAAGTAGCTTCACAGAAGGCTGTGCTCAAGCGGAGTGGCAAGAAAAACCTCCCTAAAAACAAGTGGAAGAACAACCTATATATTATATTTATATGAAATGGTCTACAGACATTTTTCTGTATGAAGTGGTTTGTGTTTTTGTAAATGAAATGCTCTATAGTTATATATTGTATTTTTATGGTAAAATTAAATTGTCTATTATTTTTTATTAACAATCTGTGTATAACAGTATTATACACACATATATTTATATATACATATGTGTATATATATGTTTATATACACATACACTATACATCGCTTCTTAATAGAGAAGAATAAACATTATACCATTTAAAATTGTCCATAATATTAAAAAGTATAAAGTTGATAAAAATAATAATTATATACATTTTATGTTTATAGGTTAGATGGTCTATATCATTTTTTAAATTATGTGTGTGTGTGTGTGTGTATGTATATATGTATGTATGTGTGTATATATATATATATATATATATATATATATATATATATATATATATATATATATATATATATATATATATATATATAAATAAATAATGTCTTATTATATTTACTGAACCATATATGGTCTATATTGTCTATGAATTTTATTAGTAATAATTAATTTTAATAGTATTAATTTCTGTGAGCGTAGACTAACAGAGGAAGCTATGTTCTGACGTCAGGTCACAGGGGCGACGTCACGTCCGATAGAAACAAGGATGTGCGCGGCTGTTCGTGAGCGCTGAGTGTGTTTTGTGTGTGTTTTTATTGTGTGTGTGTGTTTTCGTTGTGTGTGAAAGCGGCCGGTGGGCTTTGATAATGTCAGAGTCTCCGGACACTCGCAGTCTCGTGTCTGCGTCCTCGCAGGCCAATCTAATGGAAATAGACGCGGTGAGTTTGGTGGTGTTGCTGCTGTTGTTGCTGCTGTCAGCTCAGCTGATTCCGCCAGATGTTGTTTAATTGTCGCATTAAAACATTGTCTCAGCACATTACAGCGGGGTATTGAGCTCTTCTCAGTGGTCGCCTCGTCTCTGCGTCGTTGTTAACTGAGTTTAGCTGAATAACGTGCTGTAATGCAGACAAGCTTCTCTCAGCTGTATTATCACCATTAGCCTCACTGTAGCTGCCACAGTTTAGTGGTGAACGATACTGATAAAAGTCAGTGTCACAGCATTTTTAGGTTTGCTTTCATGAGGATTCTGAACCCATGTTTCTTGGGTGCTGCTGCTCTATAATAAAACAGTGTCTTACAGACCTGACAGACGCTCTATGTCCAAAAAGTGGCTGTTGTTTGCTCTTCTAACGTTTCCTCCAAAATCAAGTGTAGGTAAAATAGGGAGTTTGTCCCCACTTTGCTGCAGTAACAGCCTCTGCTCTTCAGAGAAGGCTTTACTCTAGATGTTGGAACATTTGCTATGAGGGTTTGACTGCATTCAGCCACAAGAGCATCAGTGAGGTCAGGTACTAATGTTGATGATTAGGTCAGAATCACTCCAGCTCATCCCAGAGGTCCCGGATGGAGCTCCATCTCTCCAGAGAACACAGCTCCACTGCTCCACAGCCCAACGCTGGGGGGCTTTATACCCCTCTAGCTGACGCTTGGCATTGGGCATGGTGACTTTATGCTCATGTGCAGCAGCTTCAGAGAGTCTCATTAGTGTTTGCACTATTAAACATCTGTGTCAGCATAGGGAGCACCTTAAAGTGTCTGAATGCTTTGGGTATTTATTATAAAAATATTGTGTAAACTAAAAAGCAAGGATATTTAAGTATGAAAGAGGAATATTTAAGTATTAAAATTCAGGTGTTAAATAGCTGTAGGTTTAGGTTTTATTCTTTTTTTTCCTCCTGCCTGAAACACGCCTATTTTTTGTGTTACTGCTCCACGACTGAATGGCACAACGGATTGTGTTGTATGTTTCTGATGAGAGCTTTGTGTTTTATGTAGGCGTTTTTTGTGCGTATCTGTTAGTAAAGACCAAAGACACTGTAGTCGACATATTTAATTCTACTAAGGTCAGTGTGATCAAATCTAACATGTTTTTCATCACAGATTGACGACAAGGAGTTTGACATCCCTCAAGTGGACACGCCGCCAACTCTGGAGAGTATTCTGAATGAGGTGAGTCAGTGCTTTGCTGTTTATCTCTGTACAGCTATTCAAATCTAGATCGACAGCTGAATTTATGAAACTGTCAATAGCAAGACGTATAACAGCAAGGGTTGCTGCATATGTAACATTGGTCAGATTTACACAGTATTCACATTACCCCAGATGTACTCCATTTTCCAAGGCGTGTTTGGTGTTTTGGTGCTTCTTTAATTTTGCACGGGCGCTTCAAGACTAATGTAACTAAGAATAAATGAAAGCTTGTACTCCATTAGCATTGTGTGAGCTTCATGACTAAATGTCTTAAACCATGCTGGGTTGTTCAGTAATCTCTAATAGACTTGCTAATGTAGTTTCTGACACTGTATCACACCCTGTAATCTCTAAAAATTAGTAAAAACATGTAGCTTAGCCAAAAACAGGTCGGAGTTGGTGAGGTGACAATGAGTGAGATTTTCAGGTGACTGGAGTGAGATTATCAGTTTTACATGTACCTGTGTGTATCTAGTGTTACTCTGCTTAAATACTAATTTGAACCACAGCTAATAGTTGATGTTTCTGGCTGGTGTTTCTTAAATCGTTCTTCAGGAACCCCCACTCGATCCCCTTTTTGATCTAACCCAGTTCCAAATACTCCTAAACTAAACCATTAACAACACTGAATACTTAGTACTAGTACATTTGCATTGCTGGGTTTGAGCAGAATGTATTTTCAAACAGTTGTTTTTCAACCATTGCTAAGCTTTTTAAAAGTCAGGAAAGGAAACATGCTAAAATATGGTGTCTGTGCGCTGCTGAGAGTCAACCTGTAAAGCCTGAAATAATGGTAACGCTTTCTTTTACAGTCCCCTACGTTCTAGGTATTAACCTGGTAAGTGTGGGGTACAAACTCCAAAGTGTTAGGTAATTATTTTAGGTGACAAGATGGTAAGTAGCAGAATAGTCTAAATTAATTATACTGAAATGTCTCACAGGTTCTAGGTATTACCCAGCTAAGGGTAAGGTATAAATTCCAAAGTACTGGGTAATTATTTTAAGTAATAAGATGGTAAGTACCAGGATAGCCTAAAAGAATTACTATGGAATGTGTCACAGGTTCTAGGCATTCCCCAGGTAAGTGTGAGGTAGAAACTCCAAAGTACTAGGCAATTATTTTTGGTAATAAGATGGTAAGTACCAGGATAGTCTAAATAAATTATGAAATTATGTGAAAAGAACTAAGGAACTAAGGAATTAAGATACTCTTGTACAATATTGTACACTGTAATGTACAGGAGTTATTGTGTCAAAATACAGAGTTGTCAAAAGGTTTTAATAAACAGGTATTACTATTGTGACGAATCCTGCTTTCTCTTACAGTGTTTACAGTTGCATAACAAGTGGCAATTTTTCTGAACTTTGTGGTAAGAACCCAGTAAAACCATAGAAAGAGTCCCTGCTTTCTTTTACAGTTCAGATTCAGTTTAGTATCTAGGTAATAGATACATACTATTTAAGACTCTACAGATTCGAGTGAGCTGAGCTCCGACTTACATTCTGTTTATTCTTTTGAACTTCCGGGTAATACATTATAACACACAGATACATTCCCTCTAATATTGACAATCTAGTACCCATGTGTCAAACACAAGGCCCATAGGCCTGATCTAGAACCTGTGAGACGTTTTCATAGTAATTCTTTTAGACTATCCTGGTACTTAATATTTTCTCGCCTAAAATAATTACCTAGTTCTTTGGAGTTTGTAACTCACACTTACCTGGGTAATACCTAGAACCTGTGAGACATTTCAGTATAATTAATTTAGACTATCCTGCTACTTACCATCTTGTCACCTAAAATAATTACCAAGTACTTTGGAGTTTGTACTCCACACTTACCTGGTTAATACCTAGAACTTAGGGGACTGTAAAAGAAAGTGTTACTGAAATAATCATTTAAAAGACAGTTTTATGTATACGTTTTATTGTCAAACACAAAGGCTCAAAAAGAAGGACTGGCTTGATGTTTACGTCTCGCATACAAGATCAACATTATGCCCTTGAAGATATGATGACAATAGTAGATAATTCTCTCGCATCCTTGGAAGACACCTATTGGCAAGTTCTCTTTGAGTGCTCTTTCAGTGCACTCGCAGTCATCACATTCATCCATTTGGAGAAGAGATCTGAAGCAGAACCCACATTACGAAAGGTTCTTCCATATGTTGCATGATTTTACACATTTCTCCAGCACTTACGTAGTGCAGCTTTAAGTAGCTGATTAATCAAGTCAGGTGGACTCCAACACAGGAAGCAGTGAACTGGGCTCTGGGATTGAAGACCACTTGTAGTGTTTGCTTCCTGTCACTATAATTTTTTAGGCTCAGTCTTGTTTTGTTCATCTGGTGTGTTTGTAGCCTGAGGATGAGGATGAACCCTTCATCCTGGAGGACACCTGCCTGCTGAACACGGAAAACATTGACGCTCATTCCTGCGAGACCTCCTCTCTCGCCAGCTCTGACAGCGGAGACAGAGCACACCTGAAAAGGTGCGTAATCCCTTCCATGGACACACAGACAACGTCACGTTTGTGTCATGTGGTTGACCGTTAGAGGTCTACTGTTAATGGGGTATTCTGGCATAAAATTAGTGTTTGATATGTTATTTGTTGTATTATGTAGTATTGTGTAGTGCAGCACTGCACCCCTCACTCTCATCAGTTTCACAGTTTTTATCAGTCAGTGTTTTCTCACTACAGTACGCAAAGAAGTGATGTAGCATTAACCTTAGTGGGTCAGCAACTTCTTTTTTCTTTTTTGTACACAGAATAATACATGTATCTGCAACACCTTCAAGATGCATCATCAGAAAGGGTTTTTCTTAGTCTTTAAACCAGAAAATCTTACTCTAGAAACTACTGGAGCACTACCGAAGCGAGTAGGCATGTTAACAGGTGTATCAATGTTCACATTTTTCACTTGGGCCAGAATGCCTCTTTAAATATTGCATGAAATTTCATAATTATATACATGACGTACATACATAAAATACATTTACATTCAAGTTCCATTTTGAATCCATTTGTCCGAGTCTGTACTTTCATGTTTTTTTGTTTGTGTTGATATCAAATGTTGACAAAAACATGGAAAAATGTAAAGGATGTTTAAAATTTTTCTACAAAACTAAACTGTACACAGAACTGCAACTCCTCATCTAATTCAATAAAATATTTATAATATTTGAATAAATCTTCTACTGACAAATTGAATGAAGTTTAGCATCTGTACTTTCAACAGAATTTCTCTGCTTCTTGCAATAAGCGAGTGAGACATAATTAACTTAACAGTACAAAAGGCGTTAATGGCATTGTGCACCATAGGGAGCCAATACGGGCTAAAGCATAGGACAGGAAGGCTCATTCTGTCCATAGGCTTTGTATTGCTGTTTTATTTATCATCTATTTGCAATTCATTTATTTTGTATGGGCTACAGAGTAGTTAGTGACCACTTGTTTGTGTGTCTGTGTTGTCCTGCAGGAGGAGGAAAGCAGTAGAGACTAATGCTACAGTTCATGGATCGGTTCTGAAACACAGTGTGCTGAAAGGCATTTCAGCTCAGATTGTCTCTGCTGCTGTGAGTTCCTTCATATTAGACATTTCTCATACTGACCTGCACTGCACAGCCATGCTGTTGTAGAACATCTCACACACAGTGCAGCAGTTTAATGGCACCTGCTGATCTATCACAATCCAGAACTACCTGAAATAACCCTAAAGGGGTACCCCAGACGTTTTTCATATCTGCCGTGTCTGTAGAGCACTGTAAATGACCACAGACAACTGTGACCTGTTTCTCTGTTCTTGGAAAAGAACATATAGCCTGTTTACTCACACACTTAATAATAGAAGCCAAGAAGCAGCTGCTGAATTCTGTCAGTAAATATTTATGCGAAACATATTTTGGTAGAGCAATTACATGAATTTAATCAGATGTATTTGTAAAAGAAGCTGTAAGTTGTTTGTTTAGAGATGGATCTAGTTTTACTGAACCAAGGATTTCTGGTCATTTGTTTCCAAACCAAAATCATTTGTTTTTTTTTAACGCCAGAAAACCTTCAGGAAAGTGAAAGTAACTGAAACTGGTTTTGTACTGTGTTACTCCAGCATTCAAAAGTTGGATAAAACCTCATAAGAACAGCTCTGTTGAGACATTCTCTCACCTGTACTTTTAGAGGGTAGTGGATGCAGTTTCAAGTTTGTATTGCGTGCGTTTTAAATGCTTATTCAGGGAGTTCAGCAGCTGCCCATTGCCTCTCTGTGATAAGTTAGTTTTGAGTCAGCATACTTTTTGCTTTTTTTCTAAGCAGAATAAGGAAATACAAGCTACAAGCTAAGGAAAATAGATAAATAGTCCGTGGTATTCGACAGTATGATACACATGCAGCTGTTAGACATTAAGTTCCAGATTATTCCTTTAAAATACCCTGAGCTGTTATGCCTATTGAAGCCATGTTGAGTGAATAGCTCAGCACAACATGATATAATAGGTGCTGTATTCTATTCCACTCTGTTGTAATCTGTCTTGAACACAGCTGTGTTCAAATGTTATTTTTTTTATATTGGACACTGCAAATGTTAGATCATTAAATTTTGGCCTCAGTTATTTTCTTCTCTTTCTAGGACAAAGTGGATGCAGGCTTACCAACGGCTATCGTAAGCGTTTGTGTTCTGGGTTACAATCTGATTTGATTTATTTATTTATTATTGTTTTATGTACCTTTTATCTACCTTCACTGATAAGTTTATAAATATACTGGTTGTATTTTTAGACTGTGTCCAGTGTCATCGCTGTGGGAACGTCTCATGGCCTGGCCCTCGTGTTTGGTAAGTGTTAATACCATAATTTTAAAAAATAATATTTTAATTTTGAAGGTGGACAATATGCCAAAGTTTTATTACATCATAGTATGCCTTTCTGAGCTTGGATATATCATCAGTACTTTAAAAACACTGCATCAGTGTTTTTTAAAATACACTTTAATTTCAAGGAGAGCATAATTGGTCGAGTTTACTTGGATTTAGTGCATTACAGTACATAATGTTATGTAAAACCATTTTACTCATAGTATTACTCAGCATTGCGTCTACTCTAACGTAAACCTCAGAAAGGGTGGGTTGCACCAACAGGGATTAAGTTGAACAGAGTTTAGAGTTAATTAAGGATTTGTTCATTTAGGTTTTAATTTACAGCAGTTGTCTCACCACTTAATCGTAAACAGAAATTTTATTGTTTTTTTAATGTTTTTTAAAAATATATGCCATTTTTTTTATTTGATGGCAGCAACACGTTGGGACAGGGGCATGTTTACCACTGTGTTGCATCACCTCTTCTTTTAACAATACTCTGTAAGCGTTTGGGAACTGAGGAGATGAATGGCTGTACACCAGACACACCAAGTTACTGTCTGTTATACACATACTCAGATTAATTTGTTGTTACATACAGTCTATACTCCATAATTACCTAGATCTAAAGCGTAGCTCTGAATATTATTAAAATGGCCTGTTAGTTGGTTATCTATCTGCCAAGCTGTTTATCCTAGATCGACTAGTTCAACAAAATCACGTTCTTGCCCTTATCTGGAGTATATTTAGTATGTCTGCAATAATGTACTTCATGTACATGCTTTATGTAGCTGCAGACGCACATCTGCACATTTTTTAAGATTGAAACCACCTCAATTAGAAGGTTAAATGTAATCCCTGAACAAAGTGTAAATCTTTGTTTGTTTGTTTTTTGTTGTAAATATAATCCAGGATTAAAATAATGGTTTAGATGTAACCCTGAATATTATTAAACTAGATTTACAGATTTGTGCAACTAGATTAATAGATGACCCTCATTTAATCTCTGTTAGTGCAGCTCACCCTGAATATCATGATACATATCGTGAAAATCTCTTCAATTCAGCCTGTCATGATCATGAAATTTGTACTGCCATATAAATAATACAGATTAACAATCTTTTTTTGTTCATTGTATGCAGCTATTAAAATCCAAGCCAATTAGCTGTTTTGCTTCCTAGCTGTCATTACTTAGTAGCTCTGTTAAATTGCCCACCCCTATTTTCTGTTTGTTGTATGTAGCATCATTACACAGTTTACACCAAACAGTAATGACCTGAATTGATGCTGATGTCAGTGCTGTGTGATTTTTATTCTTTGTTTTAAACAGTAGCTTTGAATCTCCTTAATAATAAGCATTATACTTGCAGGAGTTGTGTATTACTGTTAGATTATTTGCTGAAATTAACAGAAGGATTTGGTCGTCATACCTTTTTATAAGTTTTAAAACTTTTTAAAACTTTTTTCTGTAATTACATATAGTGTGCATATTTTTTATTGTGTCATAAACTATGTTGGACTATCTCTCTGCCTTGGCTTGTCTTGGGTGGAATGATCAGGAAAAGGTAAAGTAAACATATTGTAATAATGTATATAAGCAGCAGTCACCCTCTCCATTACCTTAATGATGGCTATGGATTATCAGCATGCACCAGAATGGCTGTGTGTGTTTGGAGCTTGTGCTGTTGGAGAATTGGTTTTGCTGGAGAGGAGTCCTTCCTTTTATAGCATGCTCAGTTTGGCTGCTGAGCTTGTGTGCTGGTGTATCACTTCCATTACTCAAATATGAGTTCAGAACACTTAAAGAAGTAGTTTGAAGAACAAAGTCACATTTGTGCACTATTTCACCCTTAACCCATATGTGGTTGATCCACCAAGACATTTTGGTGCCTGAAATTTGTCATTTAGTTTTGCACTAGAAATACAAAGCCAATGTGGCTAAAAAGCCGAGTTTCTTCATGCGAGTCTGAGTCGAGTCTCGGGCCTTCAATAGAGAATTTTATTTTAGATTCGTTATTAGCAGCTGGCATTGCAGTGGACAGAAGTAAACCTGTGCTAAAAACCTGTCAGGTTCAACACGGCCTCAAATAATAAGGCTTTTATTTTAGAAAAAGTTTTTAGTCTGAAGAAGAGAAGTGAAGCGCAACGTTTAAAGGAAAGAGGCAAAACAACTTGAAACAGTCGGCTAGTCTGCATAGCTAGAGCAATATAGCTACGGTAATAGCCAATCCAGCTGAAGTTTTAGTAAGTTTTAAAGGACTGTAATCTGCAAAACAACTAAAACTTAACTTAGATTAGCAGACAACAAAACAACTAAATTAGGAAATGTGCTTGCTGGTACATTTGCTGTCCAAACTACCTGCCGGTCAACCTTTTGAAGTTGTTTTGCTGTTTTCCCTACACACTATTTTTTTACTGCATATGGCACTTTGTTCTCTGCTTTAGACTGATGGTTTTTCTATGATGAAGTGGTCATTGTTTAAAGCTGTATCAAAGCTGCAGGAGAATAGCATTGCAATGACTGTTCATGATGGTAGCAAAATGACCGGTAAGACGCCTAATAGGAAAAAGATGGGAAAGGTTTCATTCAAATATGCAGTCCTAATCTATTATTACTATTTCTATTATTATTTTCCCCACACCCAACTTTCATGTATCTTAGGAATTTACAGTGAATCTGAGTCATTAATCAGTTATGATCCAAGTCAACACACAATTTCAGTTCAAATTGCTGACTGGAGTTTCCATCTCTGCTAGCAAGTAATGCAAGTTGTGCAGACAAGTGCCTAAATCATCACGCGCTTGCTTTAACCCTTGTGTGGTTTTGGGACCCATTTTAAATGTTTACCAAAAGAAAAAATGATGCGATTTATTATTATTTCAACCTCAGATTCCTTGGCCTTTGCCCATTTTCTGTGAAGAACATATAAAATAACGCATTTTCAATGACCCCCTACACATTTATATTACACGTGGTGTTGGGTGAACCCGCGGGAGAATAAAAGTGTGGAGGTGCTGTGTCCCTTTACTCTGTTCTCCTCATACATGGCCTGCTGTTAGTGAGTGTGTGAGTGTGTGAGTGTGAACAGCATGGACAGGCTGCTGACTGACTACAGCTGCTAAAGGAGAACCATACGCTGGCCACTTGTGATATTTTAAACATCTGTTTTGTTTTTGTTTTGATTTTTTATTTTTTTTTAACATAATTTTTTTATGGCTGTATTGATTTTTAAAAAGCAATAATGTGGTGAGTCCAGCAGACCACTGAGTAACAAACACAACACCACACAAGGGTTAAATACACTTGCTTAAGCTGTTTCTGACTATAAAAATAGATAAACGTTTGAACAAACACACTTTTTATGTCATGCAGTTTCCGAAACCACATAAACACGTCTGTTTTGAGATTACTTAAAATTATGAGACAGTTTGTGGAAATTTGTGATGGTTTAGGTATGCAGTTTGTACAGCGCATTACTTGTTAGAAACATTAGCTTTGTAGCTCCAGTGCAAAACTATAGGAGCAAACTTCCAGACAAGTCTTGACAGCTCGTCAGCAACTGTTTAAATTGGATTATTTTGCTGAACTATTGCTTTAGGTGTTCTTTGGGGCTGAGCATCAAGATGCAGAGGATGTTTTCATGTTAAGCTGTTCCTTTTAAAAACCTGTTGGTGATTTTTTTTTTTTTGTTTTGTTTTGTTTTTTTCTTGGCTGGCTATGATGTGTGATGCTAGTATGAAGGAAGGTGTCACATTTCTTTTACTGCTTGGATGACACATTGAGACTCTTGCCTGTGACATTTTTGCCTCAAAATCTCAGTGTTGCATCAAGGTATTATGGATATTATGGTAATTTCAGATCAGAACCAGGCGCTGAGGCTGTGTCTGGGTACCACAGCGACGGGGGCTGAGTATGGCGCTGTGTCGGCCCTCAGTATTAACCACGACTGCACACGGCTGCTGTGTGGCTTCGCTAAAGGACAGGTGCGTAAAAACATACATATATTGGCTGTTTGTTTCTGCAGAACTGTGTATCTACATATGCAGTCTGACAAGCAAGTACTTAAACAACATTCGTAAGGAGGATGTTTAGTAGGGACTTACTAATTGGCTTCATAGAGCATTTTCTAAAATTAAAGTGATTATTTGGCCAAAAAATCAAATGTACAGAACATTCTGCTCACTCAAAGAAGTGAGGCCAGTTGTGCTCTTTTGGACTCCCAACCACAGATAGCTGTGGCTTCATTGGAGATCAAGCTCATTATCTTCCAACAATAGGGCCCTAATACACATACATTTGTTCTCACTAGAATGCCTATGGTATGCATTCACTTGCACTTTTTCTCACCGCATTCTGGGCTGGATCTTTCCCGTTGCCGCTGGTGGGCATTTCTGTGCCATTATGGAAATGAAGGAACCATATTGAACATATCTGGGGCACTAAACAGTCTGACACACAGACGCTTTCAATGAGACCAAAATATAGACACTGTGCTTTAAGTTAGCTTCGATTCAAATTTTGTCTTCCCACTTGAACCATGTAAAGTTTATCCAATCATATCTCTCCCCTTCAGATCTTCAGTGTAAACAGTTCAGTGTAAAACCTGATATTTTCATTATTATGCAGAAACTGTCATGGATTCAAAGGGAAAGACATCCACCGTTGCCCCTCTACTCTCGGAGAAGGTTAAGTTTGCTGTTTTGTGATGAAGACTGGACTACTGTTGACTGATTGGCTAAACGCAGTGTGGCCGCATTCATTTGCATAAAGCGTCTAAACTTTTCCGCCGCGTGATGAGGCACATCTCACTGCACCACAAACTGTTGTGCACCACACGATGCGGCAGAGCTCTTTACCAAAACACGTACCATTAGCGGCCAGAATTCTGTTTCTCCAAACCCTCATTGGAAAGTTTGTCCACTCGGAGGTAAACTTGGCAGCAGTTATTTCCAGTCATACAAGCCCAGGCTCCAATAGACTTAAATGAGGAGAGACCTATAAAACTGAAACTGATAGCCAGGCTTAAAAACATTTCCAATCAAAAATAGCAGGTTGTTCTGGCTGTTGCATTTGCATATGTCTTCACAGTCTGTCTGGTTCAGATTTCAAACAGTGAACTCCCTGAATCTCCTTCATAAAGTCTCTGATTCTGCTCTCTAGCTAAGCCTTCTAGTTAGAACACAAGTACAGACATTGGGCCATGGCCTTGTCTCTACTTTGGACAATTATGAGGCTCAAAGGTGTCCTGGCTGATCAGCTACATTTGGGGTGAGAAGACAGTTGTGTTAATTAGATTTTTCTTAAGAAGTTTCTTTTGTTACTATTCAGTTACGTGTCCAGATTGTTTTGACAGTTCTACTCCTGCTGCCAAATGAAATTCAAACACTGCTTGTCACACTGTCCGCTTGATCTCTTCACTGTCTCCTCCTTCTGTCAATCAGATCACCATGTGGGACTTGGCCAACGGGAAGCTGCTGCGCACCATCACAGACGCCCACCCACCTGGGACGGCCATTTTACACATCAAGGTAGATCGCCTGATTATTGATTTACTTCAGTTTTTCTCTAAACCTGAATAAGAAAGTATGAAACTTTTATTTCTTATTCATTCTCTTTTTTTTTCTCTCTTCTTCAGTTCACAGATCTCCCAACACTAGCTGTGTGCAACGACAGCGGTGGCTCTGTGTTTGAACTTTCATTCAGGTAGGAAAGCACAGCACCAGAGTATGTGATCATTCTGCTCCAACTCGGCTCCGGATTTTCTGTTTCTCACTCTTCACTCGCACATCAGAGAAAACTCACTCCATGTCTGCTCCATATGATTCTTTTTAATTATATTTTTATGTTTTGAACTTGGACAAGACATCACACACTTCATTTCATTAAGTTATGTAATTTATGGACATTATTAAACGCAAAACTAGTTAAACATTAGGCTTTTTTTCAGAAGGTATCGGCTTGAAGTGATGGCCCAACTCTACACAGCACCCACTTCGAAATTGACCAGAGTGCAGTATGTGTGTGTGTTTTTCACTTGTAATACTACACAAAAAATGTACAATAATAACACAGACACAAATACAAATAAATGCTACCCTCCACTGCAAACTCACTCCCACCCACCCATCCACCCCAGTTGGAAAACCCACTCATCAAAGTTAACATAGAAACAAAACATGAACACAATAAATCAAAGACAACTTTATTTAAAACACAGGAAACCTCATGCATTAGGCAGTTCACTAATGTTACCAGCCAAGTTTTCCCTATCTTTGCGTTGTTGAAGCCTTAGCATTGTGTGTTCTAGCACTAGAGCGCTCCATCATAACTATATCATGAAAATAAAATAACCACATGAGGGGGCATCCAACGCTGAACTACCAGTTTTTTGCTGTGGTTAAACCAGCAGATATTATTTTTGTTGTTTCTCAGTGAGCTGTAGATGTGAATCATTAAGAAGAAATAAAATTGGTTGAAGGGGAATGTCCTTTCCTGTAAGTTTAGAAAGTATAGAAGTTACTTTCTTCCAAAATCAATCAACCTTTGGACGATTCCAAACCATATATTTCAAAGAACCAGGTATCCCTAGAGGAAAAAAAGTATATATGTTGATTGTTTATCTTGTGCACTGCCGACTTTATCCTATTTATCCTGTACACCGTCACATTGCCTGTTTATGTAGTGTCAAAGTTGCAGTGCCTTCTTTCAGGACCTCAGGGCCCCCCGGGCGATTCATGTTTGTCCTCTAAACCATCTCGCAACACACAGGGATATATGAAAAACGTGGACCCCGAGAGCCACTACACTATTTTATGTTGACAGACAGGGGGCAGTAGAGCATTGTGTCCAAAACCCCCGTCCTCATGCAGTCACATATACTGACTTTACGCTTCACGTTCATCTAAGATGTTTTTTAGAAGTCTGAACGTGATGTATGGACACCAGTGCTAATCCTGTGGCTGTTACATTACAGTGCCATTATTTTAGTCCTAAGGCAAAATCTATTTTTTTTTTCTCTTATCTTAAACTCATATTTTATGTACATGCTTTCATAATGGAAGCTGTGGATATTGTATTTTTATTGCAGTAAACTGTGGCTGCCACTGTTGATTAGATTAATATTAAATAAAAGGTGTATCCATAAAATGGACTTAATTGAGCAGTAACAAACCCTGAAGAGGCTTTTGATTGCAAACTTATCAGTGCTGATGCATCGAGAAGGTGCATTTTAATCATTTTATTTTTTAATTTAC